GCAACATGTGTAAACTTTTATTAAATGAAGAAAGCACAGTTGAATTTGATTCTGATAAAGTGAATTAACAGTTATAACTTCACCCAATTTATCATCTCCCAGGCCAAAAAGTAGAAAGTCAAACATTCAAAAACAAATAATTTATATATGGGGCCATTGCAGTAGAAAGGGCCGAAACTCGGAAATATACAGTATCATAATCTTTTTGGTCGATCGGTAAACTACTTAACTAGTCCGGAGGGAAAGTTAGGTAATCTACCGAATGACAAAAAAGATTTCGGGTAATGAGCAGGTGTCCCAGAAATTCTGATAATAGCTGTAAATTATCGATTTAGATAAAAATTTCGATTTATTTCGAAACTATAATAGTATTGGCAAAAATCACATGTTTAGACAATCATTCTATGGTCACATGATAAAAATTACATCTAAAAAATTTCGATTTTTGAAAAAATTACATATTGAACGAAAAAGTTCCGTGTCCCTGCCTGGTGGTCTAATTAAAAATGTTCCTTGTGAAATTTTACTAAAAGGCGTCACATTATCCTTGTCCTAGCCCTAACTATAACGCAACTTTTACTTAGAAAACAAAACATGACTATCACGTTACACCTGATCTTAAATTTGATTGGCCAGAATGAACATTTTTGTGGGAACCACCTAACCTAAAATCGAACCATATCAATCATTAACACAAAAATAGAAAAATGTTATTCTGCCCTTGTTGTGGAAATTTACTTTTAATAAAAACACTTACGCAAGGAGAACAATCGTTTTATTGTCAAACATGTCCTTACATATTTCCAATTGGAGGTAGAGGTGGCAAATCTCTTGTAAGTTGTGGTTAGACATTAAAGTTTGAAAGGTATAATTACTGAGGTTTTGGAAATTATAGTATAAAAATCGAACGACTCTAAAGCGCAAAGAAGTTGACGATGTTTTAGGTGGAGAAGAGGGCTGGAAAAATGTTGATTCAACCGAAGGTGAGATCTTTACCTGATCTTTATTATAATGTATACTAATGCTCATAATAATTTACTTTAATAGCGAGATGTCCAAAATGCGAACATCCTCGTGCATACTTTATGCAAATACAAACACGTTCAGCAGATGAACCTATGTCAATTTTTTATAAATGTTGTAATCACGATTGTCAACATCAATGGAATGAGAAATAAAGTGAAATTCTTTTTATTAAATGTTTTCTTGATCTTTTGATAATTGTTTTAACAAAACAGTCGCAACAATTTCTAAATTTAGGCTCTTTTTTTGTTTTCAAGCGCCAATTCAATTAGTTTGGTGTTATCCAACCAATCCAATTCTATATTTTCTAGATGTTCATCAAAGTCATATATAACTTCGAAATCCCTTTTAAAAATTGATTGAGAAGTTATGCTAGGTATATTTGGATTTTCAAGAGTGAAGGGGGATAGAGGATCAGAAAATGCTTTATTATCAGGGCGCCATTGATTATCTTTAAAAATATAAGGCTAGAAATATTTTCAAGTTAGTAAATGACTTGGGTTATGCATACATATGTGCATTATATAAACAAAATTATTATATAAAGATTCTTACCACGATTGCAATCTCTGGATTATCAGGTGATAATTTTGTATTCTGAACCTAAATAATAAATAATAATGAATAATAAAGACAAAATAAAATAGTCGATTAAAATTATGATAAAAAATGAGTCTTTAACGCTCACCACAAGAGCGATTGAATTATGAAAATTATCTTGAATTTTTGATGCAATTTTTTGGCCAAAAGGAGGCAATTTATTTTCGTCAGCTCTTTCGTTAGCATGGTAATAACCAGCCATTTTAAGTCCCTTTCTATTAGCGTAAACGGAAACCTTTGAAAATCCTTCAGAATAAACACTTTGAACCTCTTGGAAGTTATTTTAGTAATTAAAATTAGATCTAACCTGCTGTAATCCAACCTCCAACTTCGGTGTTAAAGTAACCCAATGATGAAATAAAGGAACAACATCGACAATTATTATTTTAACATCACTATTATTGTCGTCGGAAGCATCATCTTGGGCTAGAAGAATTCCATTTACACTTGTAAACGGATGTTTACAAGCATGAAGAATTATTTTTAAATATGCTTTGGTGGTAATAACATAATTAGGCATATTGTAAATAGAAAAAAAGGTTCGTCAAAGCTATAGCAGTGTTGTAATTTTGATGTCCAAAGCCTTTTTTGGTAATGTTCCGCTGTCCAAGCAAGTTTAAAATTCTATAATTAATAAATTTATCATTATTCGTTATCGTTATATAAAAAAATATTTTCTGTAGTTCTGAACATTTTTTTACTTAGAAAATTAGATAGTAAGGTAGAAAATTAGATACGTAGTAAGGCCATGCAAAAATAATTGCCCAGTCGGGAAAAATTTTGGAAACTTTATATATGTTTAAATAACCGGGTGGGTTTTTAAAATCATGGTTTTTTTCAGTCAAAAATCGGGGTATCGGGTTACTAGTGATAGCTTATCATGGTAAGTTAGCTTGGTAAGCTACCAGTAGGTTACCGGATCATTATTAATTTCTGCGAGCATTAAGCGCGTCGGAAGTTTTATGGCACTTCACAACTGAACAGTCTGGTAAAGCCAAAAAAAATTTTTTTTTTTGGTGGTCATATGATAAACCCGAAAATTTAAATGTAAGTCATATTTAAATTTTCGGGTTTTCTTTTAGCGACACTCAAATATAAAATAATAAGAACTTTCTGCCATGATAATTTTAAAAATTGTACAATAATAGTGGTAAATTATTTCACTAATCTAATTTCATCAGCACTTTACGAGCACGTACCGGTACGTGCATACGTACATATGGGACAATTATATCTCACGGACGGAATCTATATTTAAATGACATTTATCATTATTTCTTGAATTGGTGATAATATATTTAATTTGTCTCGTAATCAAATCTTTAGGCAAAAGAATGCATTTTATTCTATGATGCAGAAATAATTTGATAACCAAACTTTAATAATTTCAAGAATACTTAAACTTTTTAAAATACTGATCCACATAAGAATTAGAACAAGTTAGATTAAGTTACTATTTGATAAAAATCTGTCTTTTAACATAAATTAGTTACCATCGTATTAGCCTGTCGCGATGTGAAAAACACCAATAGATCTTCCTTCTCTGGCTCGTCTTTTTTTCTCATTACGAGCTTTGTCTTTTAAGTCTGTCGCAGATCTATTCCTTAATTTGGGTCCATACTTCTCATCTTTCAGAATATGAACCCATATTAATCTCTCATCGGTATATTTTGTCATACCTTTCTCTAAGGCTTTAAGCTCTGAGTCTATCCATTTACTCCGTTTATATTTATGACGTAAGTTGTATGCTACTTCTTGAGGCGGTTGGGTAGGACTATCTTCGTTGGGAGGAATCGGTGGTCGAATTATGTCGCGTCCCTTACAACTTAGACTCGAGGATGATCTATCAATCATCAAAATAAATTAGATGTCATTATAAACTCATTTCTCCTAAAAATATACAGTCAGACCCTCAATACTCTTGCCCAAGTATATATATTCTTGATTCCATAAATGAAATGCATGTTGTTAAAAGTTTGATTTACGAGCTGCATTTGTGAGGTCTGATTGTATACACAAGTCTTCCTAAATTTACCTCGTTGGCTCAACTACATTCATTAACCAGTCCAGTACATTATTGCGTGAAACTGTTTCGTTCTTTATTAAATTTTTACAAAGATTTTGCATTAAATTATGATGCGATCAATTGGAATGTCTTCATCGCAATGGCGCTTACCAGATTGTTTAATGTCAAAGGTGCTATAAATAAAAATTAGACCGATGATTGTTAATATAATTACAATCGTATTAATCCATGTCTAATTTACCTCTTTGAGTAAGACACTCTGTGGTCTCGATCTGTTTTTCGCTTGATGAGTTTGTCGAACTATCAGTTATTATAGTAGGCGCAGTGGGTGCAACTGTCGTGGCGTCAATATCACTAAAAAAATAAATTTTTTCATGAATATGCGTGAAAATAGAATGAAATATATAATTCGCTGTATTTTCTTTTGTATTCAATTACTGAAAACATTCTAATCGGGAGACAACACTTGGCTACAGAATCTACTTACTCGCAACTACAAATACCTTGTTTCTCTATTAATTCCATTATTTTGGGAAAATTCTCTATTCACATCTCGCAAATCTTTATTGGATATTTGATCCGGTATTTATATTTATTTACAACTCTTAGCACGCGTTAGTAATGGATGTTTGCGCGCAATATTTTGATCTTGTAGATCAATACGTACATCGGATTCACCGATTTTGACGGATCAAATTTGAAGTACCGAATTTTAACGGGAAATGCAATGTCGCAAAGCGAAAAACCGTAATTCTTGAATTTCGGATCTAACACTTCATGGAGTAGGCGAATAATACACTGGCGATCATAAGTAGTGCAACAAAAAAAAATTTTTACTTAGATCGCATTATTTCCCGCAATTCTGGGTGTATCCTTTTATTTATTTTTTTATTTTACTC